AGCAAAAATGTAAGACCAAGGTGTGCCTGCTTCAGCCTGAGTAGTTTCAATTGTCTCATATGCATGTGAAAACTGGACAATGAATAAAGAAGGAAGAACTGATGTTGAATTATGGTGTTGGGGAAGAATACTAAATATATCATGAATTGTCAGCACAAGGAACAAATCCATCTTGGAAGAAATAGTCCGAATGCTTCATAGAAGCGAGGAAGCTGCCACTTTCGTCTCATGTACTTTAGACATATTATCAAAAAGAGCCAGTCCCTGGAGAAACACATCATGTCTGAGAGAGGGTCAGTAAAGATGAAGATCCTCAAGGAGCTGCACTGGTACAGTGGCTGTGAGAGTGCTTCGTTCTGGTGCCCATAGGGTAACTGGAATTGACTTGGTAGTACCCAACCTCTCCTGGTATGGGGCTGCAGCAGATCAAACCCACCAGCTGCTCCTTGGAAACCCCATACAGTGTTTCTGAGAGTTGGAATCGACTTGACGCCACCTGACAACAATTATGTGATGCTGGGTACACTTCAGGCTCTAGCTCTTATTTTTACCTTGGCTCTCCAACTTCCATCTCTGAGTTGTTTTCATTCTGGAATATTTTCTCAATTTTATATTACTGTCTTCTCTAGATAACTTACAATTAACATTGTAACTGCAATGCTGTTTGTTGCAATAGTCCTATTTTTGCTTTGTGCATGTTTCCTTTTATAGCCCCTAGCTCTGGTTTCCTGGATACAAAGTCTTCTCTTTTCTCTTAAGATTAAAAAAAAAAAAAAATTTCTTCTATACTTCTCACACTGTGTTTCCTTAATTTGCAAACATATTAGAGTTTTTCTCGATTGTTTGGGAAGCAATTAAAATGCTGCCTAGAAACTGTGCCTTGGAAGGTTGGGAGGAGAGGTGAAGTGCTGGGAAAATGGGGGATGTCAGCTACTTTGTTGGGGAGCCTCCAAAGTGTAAGTATCTGTAGCACTGGTCGTTTTCTGCAGAAAAAAGCTCCAGTCTCAGGCCAGATGACTTTAAGTCTGGCTGCCAATTTCTAGGAAGGAAACTGGGAACAGCAACTGAGGGGGTCCCACCTAGTAGTGTATTGAGATTACCACGTAACCCCACTTTCAGCTGACATCATCTACAGACAAGTCGGTGTCTCCAGCACCTCATCTCTCAAGAGAATTCCAGTTTTCTGTCTTCATGGAAAAGAGCTCATTACCTGGCTGTGCAAAGTAGGGGAGGAGGGCAAAACCCCTTCCAAGACTAAGACTCAATGGAAATGCACGCTCTGATTGGTGACCACACACATCACCAGTGGGGGGAAGTGGGGTAAAAGCAGCAATGAAGCGGCGTGCTAAGCCCCACGATGTTCAGTGAACTTCTGTGGACCCAGCTGGGGACCTGGTTGGCAAGCAGTGTGAGGAGACCTGGGGACTCTTGGACCCAGAGTCAGTGGCGTGGCCACGGAGAACTCAAGAGGAGAGTGGAGCTACAGGCTGATGGGAAGAGAGGGCATGTGTACAGGAGCACCCACACTTGCAGATGATACCCACGTGACCGGATGACTGGACGATTGGAGCTCAAACAGGAGAAGAAAGAAGAGGGGAGAAAAAAAAAAAAAAAGTGAGCTGATACCATCTGATGAACTTGACCTATACCTATGGAACAGCAACTCAAAAGAAGGAACAAATCCTCACAGCAAGAAACATTCCCACCCCCTCCACAACACTGAGTGGACAGAGATGGGCAACTTGGTCATTGGATACTCAAATGGGGAGCGGGGGATTACAAAGGCAAGAAGTGACTGGCTTACAAATTTTCAAGAGGGAACCTAGTGCTAGGGAGCATGGAGGAAGGCAGAATCTCCAGTGGGTACTACTCAATCTGTCTGGGCAGAGCTGATGAAAGGAAATACAGATGGGTAACTCATGATACTGTAGTGAATAATGCTTATCAGGACGGACTGTGAGGGTTGGAAATGCAAAGGTAGAAGTTTTGTAACAAGGAAGGGAGTGATTAATTCTCCAGGCTAGGAGCAGAGGTCTCTGGGACCATCAACGGAGAAGAGCCGAGAGCGGGACCCTACCCAGAGAAACAGAGATGCCTGAGATGGAGACAGAGAAGACAACGTGGAGTGATGAAGCGGCTGGGGACTTTGGATCCAGAAAGGAAAAGGGACTGTGGGCCGAAAAATGGGGGGGGGAGGGGATAGTGCAGGGGGCAGTTATCTAGGATATACCCTTTGGTTGGTGGATGATGCATGGAGGGGATTGGAACCATGGCAATGAGATGATATACTATGGAATGAATGTAAAACTAAAGTTCTCTCATGTAAACTATCCTATAATTCACAATAAAACATTTTTTAAAAAAAAGTAGAGGAGGAGGGTACTTGTGGGTGCAACTGGTACACATACATGATCAACCAGTCACCTGGTCTCCAGTTTCAGCCACACATGTGTATCCTTAAAAGTACTTACAACATCTAACTCCCCTTGGAGTCCTGGTGTGGCTCTGTAGGATAAGACTAGACTACAGGGTCAGTTTGAATCTCAAGGTCTGTGGTTCAAACTCATAAGCCAATCCTTGAAAACACAATTCAAGGTCGCCACGAGTCAGAACTGACTAGACAACTCAATAGCACATAACAACATCTGCTCTGTATGACATGCATTGGACTGCAAAACACAAGGTCAGTGGTACAAACCCACCAGCCGTTCCTCAGAAACCCTATACTGGGTCAAGATGAGTCAGAACCGACTCAACGGTACTCCAACACCTCCACCACCTGCTCAGGCAGCTCCATTTGACCATATGTGCCTTTCAGTTTGCTGTCATATTTTTCTCCCAGTCTCTTCCTACGTGGATTTATTCCTTTTATATCTCTTATTACCATGGTAGAGTTGGGGTTGTTGTTGAGGTTACGGTAGAGGGCAGATGAATGCATATATCCCACCTATGACCTTTTACTGAAAGTTCTGACTTTTAAATAACTGCTTAAAAGATTTCACTATGTGTGAAAAAAGAACCCACAGAACGGGGGTAAAAAAAAATCGGCAATAACCTATTAGACAAGGTGCTACTTTCTAAAATTTATAGAAGACTTCAACACCTCAAAAAGAAGACAAATAATCAAAGTTTTAAATGGGCAAAGAGAATGAATAGACACTTCATTAGAGGAGATATCCAGGAAGTCATCAAACATCAAGAAATGCTCAAGATCATTAATCATCCATTTTGTTGTTGTTGTTAAGTGCCATCGAGTCGATTCCGACCCATAGCGACCCTGTATAGGGTTTCCAAGGAGCAGCTGGTGAGCTTGAACCACCAACCTTGCAGTTCAAATGACTTTGCAGTGTGACGCATTAGCCATTAGAAAGATGCAAATCAAAACAATAATGAGATCATCTTACCAGCTTTGATAACCAAGTTCAAAAACACAAAACAACAAATACTGGTGAAGGTCTAGAGAGACTGGGACCCTCCTACACTGCTGGTGGGCCTGTAAAATGGTGCAACCACTGTGGAAAATGATATGGTGCATCTTAAAATAGTTGGAAAGAGAAATTCCATTATCACCCAGCATGACAGGAATAGATATATGCACATCCAAGTTGTTGTTATTGTCAGTCCCAAATCACAGCAACCCTGTATAGGGTTTCTGATGAGTGGCTGGTGAGCTTGAACCACTGACCCTGCAGTCCAGCCATCACCCCACAGTGCCACACCAGGACTCAACATCCATGTTATTGTATAGGGTTTCTGATGAGTGGCTGGTGAGCTTGAACCACTGACCCTGCAGTCCAGCCATCACCCCACAGTGCTACACCAGGACTCAACGTCCATGTTATTGTATAGGGTTTCTGATGAGTGGCTGGTGAGCTTGAACCACTGACCCTGCAGTCCAGCCATCACCCCACAGTGCCACACCAGGACTCAACATCCATGTTATTGTATAGGGTTTCTGATGAGTGGCTGGTGAGCTTGAACCACTGACCCTGCAGTCCAGCCATCACCCCACAGTGCCACAACAGGACTCAACATCCATGTTATTGCAGTACTATTCAGAATAGCGAAAAGATGGAGAAAACTCAATGCCCATCAACAGAAGATTGGTTAAACAAACTGGGACCTACACAATGGAATACTATGCAACACTGAGGAGTAACGACGGAGGTTCCTGGATGACATCATGCTGAACATGAGTCAATCACAAAGGACAAATATTACATGAGACCACTGTTGTATAAAGAAAAGGTTTTTGTGCTAAAAGAAACATTCAAAATGATTACCAAAGATGGGAAGGAAGAGACAATTTTTCACTGGGTACGGGGTGGTGGTGGTGACGTGCCGTCGAGTTAGTTCTGACTCATAGAGACCCTTTATAAGGCTACTGACAAGCAGCTGGTAAGTTTGAAACACCAACCTTGGTTTTAGGAGTACAGTGCTTATCCTACAACAGGACACCGGACCCATGGTAGAGAGCAGACACATGGTAACATGGGTAATGGGGCAGGCAATTTACAACGACGAGGCTGACATAGGAAAGATAAAGGTAGCGGGAGACCCAGGGAGGAGTCCAAGAGTTAATGCGAATAGAGGGAAATAACATTAGATAACCTGATGGTACAAGGAAGGGATTGCACTCATTGGAATGTCACCAAGTGTATGATTTGTTGAATGGGAGACTGATCATCTGTTCTGTAAACCTTGACGCATTTCACAATACAAAGTTAAAACAGAAGAAATTACTGGCTTAGAAGTGAGTATTGGCCTAATGAAAGAGGGAAAAGATGAGCTTCTTTTTAGATACCATGACTTTTGAGATGCTGATGGGATATCCAAGCAGAGATTCTTGCTGGAGGTTACAACTGCTTTCATTCAGCAAACAATTTCTGAGCACTTTCTATACTCATTAAAGGAAATATGTGATCACAGAAGATTGAAGCTTATGAGAAGTGAAAGCCATTGTCCAACCAACAGATAAAGAAGGGAGAGTGTGTCATTACCTTTCTTTGTCTTACAAGGTCCACGCTCAGGGTGAATTTCTTGTAGGGGACGAGACAACACCTTAGCTAGTCCAGCACTTAGCATGTACTGGTACAAACGCTTAAAAGTCCTTTCACAGAGTCCCTGCCAAAAGAGAATTTATAAGTTACTATTAGTTATAAGTAAGGTGTTTGAAACTACGGAAGTCATTTAAATCAACAATAGCTCAGGACCTGACTATCTGATTATTTTAATATTACATATATTCAAAAAGGGATTCCAAACAATTTTACAGATGATCTAAAATGATTCTCTGGATAATTAAAAAAATAAAGTTCAATTAAAAAAAAGAAAGACAAATGATTCATGGCAATACTGATTGTAATAGAAACCACCCAAATGTCCATCAAAAGTGGACTGGTTAAATAAATGTCCACTTACCATGGACAGAACTACAGCCATACACCAGAGGGAGGAAATGGTGGAGTTAACTTACGTTCTTGAGGAAACACAGCAAGATGCAGAGTACTTTCTACTTTCAGATTATGAGGGGGGAAAAGGGATTCCTGAGAGGGGATCCAGGGTAGGACTGTATTCAATGGGTAGAGATAGGAGACTTTTCCCTGGACACCATTTGTTGTTTTGATTACTAAACATATACAAATGAAGACACACACATACAGACACCTCTCCTCTCACAGGGGGCAATGGGACACAGGAAACTCATTAAAAGTTAGGATGTTTTTAAATTAAAAAAATTTGTCTACATGTGAACCCAGGAAAAGAGAGCTGACTGCATCCATCCCATCACTCATAACTCTACAACACGGTCTAAGTGTATCCTAGCTGTGGGCATTCATTGGCACAGTTCCCAGCGCAGGCCAGGCTTTTTCACCTGTTTGATGTCACTTCAAAAGATATTTACTTTCCAACGTTGAAAAGTGAGCGATTTCACACACACATAGATTTCAGTTTCTCTTAGAAAACTAGTTAAGATCTGGCAGCTGATCTAAAGCTTGCAAATCCCCTAAGTAACAGACAGGTGGCGCTCAATGCAGCTGCTTCTCCTCTAGGTCCAGTGCCAGCGCCCCCCCGCCCCCCATCCTCCTTTATACTGAAGCCCAGTGCCACCCCCCCCCCCCCCCCGCCCCGCCTCTTCTTTCTTCTCCTGGTTGAGCTCTGATCATACAGTCATCTGGTCCAGGTCACATGGGTATCATCTGCAAATGCGGGTGCTCCTGTGCATATGTCCTTTCTTCTCGTCAGCCAGTAGCTCTGCTCTCCTCTCGAGTCCTCCGTGGCCATGCCACTGACTCTGGGCCCAAGAGTCCCCAGGCCTCTTCACACTGCTTGCCAACCAGGTCCCCATCTGGGTCCACAGAAGTCCACTGAACATTGTAGGGCTTAGCTTGC